TCGGCAATCTCAGATCTCGTTATCAGGTCGGTGAAAGCATTTGACAGAGTACCTCATCAGAGGCTTCTGAGAAAAATTAAGGCTCATGGTATCGAGGGAAAAGTTTTAAATTGGATAAAATCATGGCTCACCGATAGAACGCAGAGGGTCAGCGTAGATGGTGTTAAATCTGAGTGGGGCCGTGTAACCAGTGGGGTTCCCCAGGGGTCAGTACTAGGCCCACTCTTGTTCATAATCTACATAAACGATCTAGATACTGGGATCAGCAGTGACACAAGCAAGTTTGCGGATGACACCAAAATAGGCGGCAAATTAATTCAGGGCAGGATGCAAATGCATTACAGGAGGATCTAAATAAACTGCAGGGGTGGTCTGAAAAATGGCAAATGAAATTCAACACCAGCAAGTGCAGCGTACTTAATATTGGAAGAACAAATACTTATAATGTATACAGCCTTAACAACATCAACCTAGAGAAGTCGACTTGTGAAAGAGACCTAGGGGTATTTGTAAGCCCAGACCTACAGCCTAGAAAACAGTGCGTTAATGTTCGAAATAAGGCAAACAGTATTGGGTTTTATATCTAGAAGTGTAAGTAACAAGAGTGCAGAGGTCTTATTGCAACTATATCTTGCGCTAGTCAGGCTGCACCTCGATTATGCGGTTCAGTTCTGGTGCCCCTATTATAGAATGGATATAAATTCACTAGAGTCTGTGCAGCGAAGAATGACAAAAATTATTCCGGGACTTAGAAACCTTCCATATCAGGATAGGTTAAAGAAACTTAACTTGCATTCCCTAGAAAGACGAAGAGTGCGGGTAGATATGATAGAAGTATTTAAGTGGATGAAAGGAATCAATAAAGGGGATATAGATAAAGTTCTTATATTATCCGAGCAGGATAGGATTCGGAGCAACGGATTCAAGTTGGATAAGTTTAGGTTTAGGAGGGAGATAGGAAGAAACTGGTTCACAAATAGGGTGGTGGACGAGTGGAACAAGCTTAGCAACTTTGTAGTAAGTGTGGGAACTCTGGAAAGTTTCAAAAGGAGGCTAGATAGATTCATGGATGATAGAGAGTGGTAGTAACTCTCGACAGGAGCTGCCATGCACAGGCCAACCGGCCTATTGCAGACTCCTTATTTTCTTATGTTCTTATGTTCTTATGTCAGGTTCACGCCCAAGCGCAACACCCCCTCTCTCAGCTGCCTCTTTAAACTATCAAAATTTGCCCTTCTGAAATCTGGGACTTTAATGGAATTTTCCTTACGTCTGACCTGAAACTCTAACTGGAATCTAATTTCTTTGTGATCTCTGTTTGCAAGTTTGTTCCCTACCTCGACATTGCTAATGAGGTTTTCTACCACAAATGGTGTTAGTTTCTCGCACCTGCTAGAGGCTTTTTAGGGTGTGTTGTTTTATTAGTGTGCATATAGGATGTCTGTTGCTAAAAATATCTGTCCGACCTTGTTTTTGCCTGTTGTTGTTTCAGTTGTAGTTGCATCAACTGTCAGGGTCATTCAGCACCAAGCACAGGTCTTAGTTTCTTACAAGACCACTTTTTCTTTATTTTCTGGTGACACCGTTGTATTTTGATTATACTTTAGTCATCCATTATAGATGAACTGACACTGTAATTTGATGTATACCAGACAGTAAGCGCAGTATGCTCCATGGTATATGATAATTTTGGTATAAATGCATTTATCAAGTGTCTTTTAATAGAGCTGCAGGTATGAAGAGGCAGAACTATTATTGATAACTAAATAAATATATAAATATTTATCTTCGCCAGTAATGCAGTTTATTTTAGGTGATAAAAGTAAGTTGTGTAATCCTCAGAAAAGTCTCAAAATAAAAGAGGAGACGAGACAGCGGCCTGGGGCACGCCATCACGTGCGGGGATGACTGGTAGATGAGTCACCTCAGGCTTCAGGGTGTCTGCTGCCGAGATTAACACCACCGTTAACTTTTCTCCATACATAAAGTAAAATTCTTCGGATATAATTTGTCATAATTTCTAGAAAATAAGACTAAAACGCTTTCCTCTAGCATAATAAAGATTTTTGTTTTGTTTTTATGGTTCTAACGCCATGACAAATAATACACAGGTAATATATATATATATTTTTTTATTTAAAAAGTTCTTTGCTGTCGTAACCAATCTTATCCTAAATTAAAATTGTTGTGTTACTACAGATAATGCTTATTATTAGTTTGTCTTATGGTTATGTATGTGATTGCTACTTTGTACACAGTTCATATATTCGACGGAATGAGAAACATTTACATTCTCGCTCTGTCTGTGGCAATACATCTCTGAAGTGCAAGGCATTTACAAATAACAGTTTAAGTTTCTTTATTAAATAGATAAAATGTAAATTTACGGGAAGAGAAAATCTCGTGTCCTTACTGAGAAACTCTTATATTTAACACACACACACAAACTCACAAAAGTCCTTCGGCCATTGTGTGATGGTGGAATTGTCATCTTCAGCCTACAACACATCTTTGATAACACTTTCTATTACAATATTAATCCGAATATTTCAAATATTTCCTAATAGATTCTCACGTTCTTGTTGATTTCTTTATAAGTAAAGCTGCAAAAGAAAGGATATTGTATAGATGTGATGTGCCATATGCATATCAAATGAGATCATAAGAATACACAACAGGCTGTATTATTATGAAGAATTGCACAATGATATAATATTTATTTAAAGTTTACTTCGATGTCAAAATGGCCTACGAGCTTCTGAGACTTTCTTATCTGTAGACATGTGTCTATGTTTGTTTTCCTCCTCAGTGATCTCTCTCAATATAATGTATGACCATAAACAGATTACTCCCCAGTGATGAAATTTCGATTGATGATATCCTGCAAAAGCGACTCAAACGAGAGGTCACTTGAACTATTTCTAAGCCATTTCCGGGAGTCGAATGCTCCTTTTTTTGTAGCCAGGCAATTTTGTACAGGTCTCATATTTTCGTTTGATGTGAATCTCTGTTGGTGCATGGGGAATTTCCGTCGGAGTGTTAGTGTAAGGAGGGCTGAAGTGGGGGAGAGGGGGTAGGGAAGAAGCCTTAGCTCGTTCCTGAGCGCTGACTCACATCCACCCACCCAGACACCATTAGCTCCGCGTGTCGCTAGGGATGCCGATAATAAAGATTTTATGTTAAAGATGATTGTTAAACTAATTTATATAAAGTTAGATTAAGTTTACGTTTATTTGACTATCTTGGATCAATATGTATGTGATATTAATATTGTTAACTTGTGTTGACTTAGATAAGATCATGTCAGCGTGCATGAAGTATAAAATTAATCCAGATCTAGTTTTGTATTCTTCAGGTACAACAAAAGTTAATTAGGGCAAGCACGGTACTCCAAACGTCGGAATGTCACGGACGACTAACTTAATAGATGCGATATGTCGTTTATTTACAACCATGAGTATTCGTGTTTTTTCTGTTAACCATTTCATTGATTAATGCAGATCAACAATGAGGTTAGGTTAGGCTATCATGTTTATCTTGTCTACGCTCAGGCCTCAACAACGAGCAGCTGCCTCGCCGGGTGAAGGAAGCCAGCGTCTTGTTCAAGGTCCTCTGTTTTTTTTCTAGATTTCTTGGCCTAACCGTGTTTTTGAAGGTTGCTTCCTCACCTGCAGCAAGTAAAGTGTTCCTTAGATGCATCACACTTCGGACCGGGGGATGTACAGTAGTTCTTCCTCTTACCCATTCTGCACCTGGACGTGTAGTGGCCTCTTGTTTGTGCGCAAGGGATTTGTAGAATTGAGGTGAAAGGTCGCTTTTAGGTCGTCATTTTATTAAGAAAACTTACAGTTGGTTTTTACCATCCCGGTACAGTAGAGTCGACATTGTCCTATTGAGTTTGGTGCTCAGCAGTGCCGGATTTAGACCTGTGGAGGCCCATGGGCAGCCTCTTTGTGGAGGCCCCCCTCATTATAACTACCCAAGAGGGTGGGGTGGCGAGTGAAGCGAGCCTAAACATCTGGGAGTTCCGGGAGGCGTTGTAAGCCCCCAGGGAAAATGTTGAAATTTGAACACTTCTTTGGAGAATTTTGAAGCCGTATGCAGTTATATTGAGGAAATTAGAACATTGATAAGTTTTTAATTAACTGTATATTAATGATAGTGTACAAATTCCCAACACACACACACACACACACACACACACACACAAAAGTGAGACATGACTGGAGTCAGTCATATGGTTTCAAGTCGACCAGCCCTGATATAGCTACTACCGCACATGTCAAAAATTTTCAAGAGACTTCACAGAAAAGAATATATTATTAGTTATTAGTTATTTGAAGGAGTAGCGAGCCTAATTTCTATCACGCTTCTTGCTGAACATAGTTTTACGTGATGGAATAGATAAACATGAATTTTAAAGAATGAAAATAAAAATAATCCAAATGAATAAACAAATAAATAAAATATTGTAATATGTGGAAGCCCCCAGATTGTGGAGGCCCCTGGGCAGCTGCCCACTTTGCCCACTCCCGAATCCGGCCCTGGTGCTCAGTAACCTTCGAGTGCTGAAATTCGCCGGCGGATTTATTGTGTCCTTGTGCCTCCAAAGAGCGTTTAATGATTCTTGAGGTTTGGTCAGCTTTTTTTACCGCCTCCCTCACTTTTTGTGTAGTTTTCAAATATTGGTAAACTATGACGCCCAGGTCCTTTGTATCTCCCTAAAGTATGTTAATGACTTTCACATTAATTATTATGCTGTGGACTTTTTATGCCCCAAATACAGTAAACATCTTAAAAATTAACATAATTGCATTTGAAAGTCATTCGACCATTTGAAAAGTTCGTGGAAATCATTTTGCATGGATGTAATCTTCCCAATTTATTCATTTTTAATTCTAAAATTATGACCATTTCTATTTTTATTTTATTACTTTAACGTTTAATTTCTATTTTCACCATTGATTGTTTATTAATTTTTGGAAATTTGATAACACAGAAGATTTTATATCTCAGCTCCAGAGGAAACAGTGATGCGCGCTCCCAGGGTCACCAGACACCGACAACAGCGCCCTCGTCTGTGAGGAGTGGAGAGCTGACGGGTATGGGTCGTTAGCAGTTAAAATAGTTACAAATTCTCATAACTAACGCTGGTCAACACTATTACCAGGTATGTCATACTTACCCTTGTTCGTAGAGTGGAGCTTGAGTGTGTTTGTATGTCTGTGAACAATATATTTCAAAAATTAATTAAATGATTTTTGTGAAATTTGACAGGTGCATAAAACGTTAGTCAAGGACTATATTATTAAACTCCATTAGCATTAGGTCGAAGTCACAGCAGGTCAAGGACAAAGACTACGATCAAGGTTCTGTGAAATGCAGTTGAGATAAATTTCTGTATATTATGGTTTAAATTATGCTAGAGTAGGTCAAAGGTCAACGTAAGGTGAAGGTCACAGGTCAAGGTTCCTTACAACGAGGCTTAACGGTGTGCTTTTGTTAACACCTGTTGAGTTAACATGTTCTGCTTGTTTATTGTCACTGTTATTGTTAATGTCATTGTTGCTGTTTGTGGTGACTCATAAGTTGATGTTGATGATGGTGGTGGTGGTGATGATACCACCACCACCGCTACTGTTATTCTTTCTACCATTTCTTTTGCTTAAGCTACTATTATACTTATACTATTATTCTTGATACCACTACTTCTAGTACAACTATTATGTTGCTGTTTTTACTACATTTCAGTACCACTGGTTTTGCTTGCTTCTACAACAAGTGTTACAGTTCTCGTAGATAAACCACTGGTTGTTGAGACACCGTCAAACATTTTTGCGCATAGGCGCATTTAGGCAGAGTGTAGGCTACCCAGTATACGTTCCCTCTTAATGAAAAAAAAATCCATATTTTCCCAAAGTTTTTAAGTTTTCAATGATCTACGTGTAGTTCATATCCTTACATGGACGGTTTCCAAGAAGTTCGTACTCAATATAGATCTGTTATCGTTAACGCCCAGCTAGGTGGTCTCTTGAATCTGATACAATCTCGCCTTGTTTGGCGTTTCTGGTTCCGCCCGTGTAGGCATTAAAAAAGAAAAGTTCTTGGGAGAAGGCTGGCGCATGTGTGGTGGCGGTGGTAGGCAGAGACCGCAGGCACAAAACAAAAAACTGGTGCTCGGCGAGGCGTGTTATCTAGCTAGACACTCCCGGGCCCACATCGAAGAAGACTACGTCACCTCGGTTACACTAGAAGCCCCTGACGAAATATCCTTACCAATTCCATCTACAGAATGATGGCAGAGGTATAAATATTACTTTTGGTTTGTGGGTGTTTTAAAGGGGGTTTAGAGAGAGTTGGTTTTTTCTCCCCCGCCTGGTGCTGGGTGACAGGACAAACACACTGTGATGCCCGGGGTTATACAAACTATTATAAAGTTGCCACACACCGCGGGAAAGCGAAGCTACACATTTCTTTAGTCGCATTATGTAACAATATTCTAAGACATGATGGAACAGTATGTGACTCATATGCGTCGACTGGTATGTAAAAGTAATGGTAAGAAGTAGTAGCTCCCAGAATCAACGTGACGTAAGAAGGAAAGTACTGTATTGTCAACGAAGTCAGCGGAAAATTAACATTCACTAGAAATACTCGAGTCGTCTAAATTGTTCGTAGAATAAGAAGTGGCTTTCAGAACGAGGAAAAATAATACCAGTGTATCCTGTAGTTGCGGAAACACCATAGTACACCAGACAACCCAGATAGTAAATTTTTTTGTTATTATTTTTTCCCGGGCTCACACACATGTCAGTGTTAGCAAAATCGGTAAAAATGGACCTCACCTACGAGCATCCTCAAACATCGGTCAGCCGGTAAATGTATCCCCCCAACTTTCTTTCTCGTGTATTGAAATGTCAGAGAAGGTGTGTGTGTGTGTGTGTGTGTGTGTGTGTGTGTGTGTGTGTGTGTGATTGATGCTCCACCTCACACCCCCGCCATAAACATTAATCTGGAACAACTACGACCAGGGAGGAAAAAAGAGGAGTCGGGGAGCATCGTCATAAAGTTGGAATGTTTGGGAAGATTACTAAGTTAGGGTCGCTGGGGTCTTATAGTGTACTTTAGTTGTTTATTTTATACTCAGTGTTACATAGACTACGATCTTCGGCTTTGTTGAAACTATTATTATGGCTTTGATACAAACTAAGATCAACGGGTTCTTTATTTACCCTTTGTTTACTTTATGAAGAGTGGCGCAGACCTTCGTAAATTACACCCATCTCGAATATCTTAACTTCTTCTAGGTGTTTACTAGTGTAGGAACGGAAAAATTAATCCAGTGAATGTTAAAGACCCTGACTGTTGAAGCATCTAAAAATATAAAACAAAAACTGCAAAATATTATGAATGACTTGGATAGACATGATGCCTGTAATGGTCATGATGATAGGACGTTAAGTGACTGATAGCGCCTTGGGGGGACGTTTATATTCGCCAGTTTATGACGATATTTAAGCTTAGTAGCACAAGGTCGCTAGGTTAGGTTCTTGTGTGTGGCAGATGTCAGGAAGACGTGCATTAAAACCATTGTTGATGAAGGTTGTGACTGTTGTAATAGTGTTGTTATTTACTGTGTTGTAGATTTCATTGATAAGTTTATATCTATATATCTATCAATCTATAAGAACATAAGAATGGAGGAAACTGCAGCGGGCCTACTGGCCCATACTGGGCAGTCCCATTTACACCCAACCTCTATCGCTCATATATCCATCCAACCTATGAAGCTATCCAGCGTATTCGAGTTAATGATGATGTTTGGTAACTTGTTCCACTCATCCACTACTCTATTTCCAAACCAATGTTTACCTATCTAGCGCCTAAATCTAAATTTGTCTAATTTAAAACCATTGTTACGAGTTCGCTCCTGGTTGGATAGTTTGAGTACCTTTGTTATATCACCTTTGTTTAGCTCTGACTTCCATTTATACACCTCGATCATATCGCCCCTCACTCTACGTCTCCCAAGGGAGTGCAGATTAAGATGCTTTAACCTATTTCTGTACTCAAGGTTCCTAATGCCCGGGATTAGTCTTGTCATTCTCCTCTGAATTCTCTCTAGGGATTCTATATCCATTCTGTAGTATCTATTTATCTATCTATCTATCTATCTATCTATCTATCGACCTCATTCATTAAACCAAAGAAGAATTTACAAGGTTCCATGCATTAAATTTTCCTCGTAACGTGAAATAGAAGAAAACACATTACTGAGTGAATCTAAAGCATAGAAATTGGATTACATGAAGAATTTAAGTACTGGACCGCCATATTTATTTCACCTGAAGATTAACCACCCGAACGTTATATGGGAGGCTTAGGTTAGGTTAAATTTAGTTAGGATTAGGTTGGGTTAGATTAAGTTAGGCAAGGATAGACTAGGTTAGGTTAAGTTCATGGTTTATGTTAGATTAACTTTGGTGAAGTTAACTTAGGTTAGATTAAGTTAGTTAAGATTAGCACTAGGATAGTTAATCTTCAGGTGATACAGGATAGGAGGTACAATCTTCAGGTGATCCCTCAAATCATATCCATATCTACGTTACTCTTACAGGTAAACAAAGGACCATTATCATTACTTATGACTCAAAATCAACATAGTAAATCTGTGTGACCCCAGCTCGCTACTGCCTGCGGCTCATCGTAAATTAATTATTTATTTTCTTGGTGTGTTTATTGGAAGTGTAGAAGCATAGAGATTTCTGAGAAGTTTGATAGTTCTTGTTGGTTGATTATATATACGAACTTAAAGAGATATATAGGAGAGGGAGAAGAAGAAGAAGAAGAAAAAATAGAAGATGAAGAAGAAGTAGAAGACGAAGAAGAAGAAATAGAAGAACAAGAACAAGAAGGAGAAGAAGAAGAAGAAGAAATAGAAGAAGAAGAAATAGAAGAAGAAGAAGAAGAAGAAGAAGAAGAAGAAGAAGAAGAAGAAGACGAAGCAAGCACAAGAATAACCTTGGAGATCCTCAAACAGGGCGGCGCAAATGTTGTCTCTTGTCAACACGACAAGAAGTGAGAGACGGAGGGAGGGAGAGGAGAGTGAGGGAAAGGCAGGCAGAATAGTCAACAGTGTTGTGTGGAAATAAGGTCACTTAGCTTGTGTTGCCACGGGAGGGTTTCTTGTGAGGTGTGAGGACTTGTACACACACACACACACACATTAGGATTGGTAGGATTTGAGTGAAGTAGTTTAGGATTGAATGAGACGGAGTGCTCTTAAAGCAACTTACGGTATGGTAGAATTGCCAGATAGAATTGACGGTCTGCTGGACGGGTAGATTGACTCTTCTGATTGATTAATTATACTCTAATTGTTGCTGGGATTTTTAGTCCCTCTCTCTCTCTCTCTCTCTCTCTCTCTCTCTCTCTCTCTCTCTCTCTCTCTCTCTCTCTCTCTCTCTCTCTCTCTCTCTCTCTCTCTGTGTGTGTGTGTGTGTGTGTGTGTGTGTGTGCGTGTGTATATGAACCACTGTCTTGCATGGCAGCGAACAGTGACATTACCCACACGACTCTGACCTATATACAGTATATATATACTGCCATGAATATGATTGTATTTCTTTGTGTACGAACCTCTGTCCTGCATGGCAGTGAACAGTGACATTACCCACATGAATCTCATATATATATATATATATATATATATATATATATATATATATATATATATATATATATATATATATATATATATATATATATATATAGAGCTGTTAATGAATATGATGTATTTCTTTGTGTATGCACCTCTGTCCTGCGTGGCAGTGAGAAGTGATACCACACCCAGTGTCAAGACCTGACTGAATTACTCAGAATAGGCAAACTGTAATCCAAGCTTTGTCAATAAATTTGTTAAAAAAAAATCTCTCTCTCGCTCTCTCTCTCTGCCTGTAGCTGTTACTCAATGTGTCTAGTCCGTCAGTCTTCCTCCATTTCTTTACTTTCTACTTAGAGAGAGAGAGAGAGAGAGAGAGAGAGAGAGAGAGAGAGAGAGAGAGAGAGAGAGAGAGAGAGAGAGAGATAAAAGAATAACAGGTTAGTGTTCTTCACAATAGAGGGACTGTTTCACTTGGCCTCTCCCCTCCCACTTGTCCCTACCCCCAC